CCCTGACCTTACCTATTGTTAAGGTATGAAATTTCTAGGAACTCTTATTATAAATTTTGAGGTCGGTATACCTTAGCAAAATTTCAAAATTCAATAAATATATTTGCAATTAAATTCAAAACAAATATGATATTTAATGTCCTACAAATCCATAATTTACCTTATTCATGTTTTAGGGGCATAATTGGAACAACAAAATAATTAATTAATTAATAAAATATAATATAAACATAGATAAATAAATAAAAGTTATGTAATGACACAAAAGTTAAAGGACTTGGATCAACAACAACTTCTACGTGGATTGCACTCAAAATCTCCCATAAGAATTGGACTTATGCCAAATTTTCTAATTAAATTGTCATGAAATCTTTAGAAATTTGTTGCACTAATTAACATAAACTACATATAATTAGTCTCGTCAAAACCAGGCAATACATATATGTATTGATTTGCTTAATTTACCTCTCTTGTTTTTTTCCCTTTTTTTTTTTTTTTTTTTTTTTTTTTTTTTTTTTTTTTTTTTTTTTTTTGTTTCCCTATCAAAATTTGGCCAGGAATGTAATAGGTGGGTATTTATAGCACTCATCCAAGGGTCACATTTTGAGCCTCCATGAGAATATATGTAATCAGCTACAGCTTTAAAATGGTGGGTATGTACAACTACATCTCTTCTGCCTGCTACGATGTCGGTTTCTACAGTGTGATAGAGAAAGAGGGACAGAGAGAAAGAGAGAGACAGAGTTGTACCTGCGAAATTCATTTCTTTTCTGTTTATTGTAAGTAGTATACGTAGACATAGGTAGGGCTCGTCAATGGGCCGGGCCGGGCTAGCCCGACCCAAATTTAACGAGCTAGGGCCGGGCTGGGCCGGGCTTTAAAGAGAAGAGAGAAAATATCGGGCCGGGCCGGGTTTTTTTAGAAAATTCAAAGCCCTAGGTCGGGCTTGAGAAAGCCCATTGGGCCGGGCTGGGCTAAGCCCAACGGGACGGGCCAAAACGGGCCTACTTCATTCGAAAAAAATCATAAACTTAATCATAAGGGCATTTTAGTCTAAATTTGAGATTAAACTCACTTAATTCCAATATTTTCACATCAAACCAAATTCATAAAATACCCAATAAAGTCACACAACTTAATAAGATCTTCCACAAAAATAATAAAACAAAGTATTATTTTTTATGTTATTACATAATTAGACCGTGATACGTTTTAAGAAATAATTTTAAAAAATAATAAGTATCAAAAAGATATTTTTTTTAAAGGATGGTATAAATAAATATGTAAATGTTTGGTGATGTGTTCAAGAAAAACATGATTATATTTGGTGGTAGTAGTACGATTGTGTTTTATAATATGATTATGTTTAGTGATATGATATATTGTTCATCTTATTTATATATATATATA